ATTCCTGTTAATTTGTCCATTGTGGATTTAAATTCAGAGGCATGTAAAAATAGCACTTCTGATCTATCTTTTGTTTCCCACAAGTCACTGCCAAAGAAGCTCTTTGTTCATTATCAGAACTCTATAAGTTAGGTGGGATGAGCAGAGACAGAAGATTCTCTGACACAACATTTATATTGAAAGTAAAATACTTAAGTGATGGTTTAAATGCTGAAAGCAGGAAAGTACTAGAAATTAATAGGCTTAAACCTTGTGATAAAAAATCACCTTAACTGCAGATATTTTTTTACCACATTCCCATTAATTTTTTTCTAATGTTTCAACAGTTTTTGCCATTTAAACTCTATCTTCTGTTATTTAAATATGACTATAGGAATTACTGCATCATTTGGGTAATATTCTGAAAATATATTATTCTGTATCTGTAAGAATGACAAAAATAAGGAAAGTTAATTTAATTAGTTTATAAAGCATTTAACTGGAATATGCACAAATATTAGGAATGCCATTTTTCTTACTTAGCTTAAAAAAAAATTGGAATCACAACTAAGGTTCAATGTTGTATTTAAGAACTTTACAAAAAAGGAGAAAGAATGTGCAAATAGACATGTTTAAAATATAAAATGAACAACTATATGATGACACTGGGATCCACTGATGCACACACATTAAAAATAGTAAACAAGCTCTGAAGCAGATACATTAAATTATTTAATAGAAAAATGCAAGGCCAAGTCCCAAAAATTTAAAACCTTATATTCCAAATAATGGAATAAACTTTCAACAAAACACACCACAATAAGATGTATTTAGAGCATGATAACTTACTTTAAAAAATATAGGCCTAAAATATGGTTTACGATTAACTTCAAAATAACACTTTAAATCTACAAAAGCAAATTGATTGCTCTAAAGAATTATAGGCAAGTGATTTTTCCACTTTTCTTTGCATCTTTTAAACACAAAATGCTGTATTATAACTCACCCAATGTCTTGAAGGGATTCAACTAGCTGAGCTTTCTGGTCAGGAGCCATTCTGGCAAATACAGTACCTCTCACAATTAACTGGAAAAAGATTACTAATATAATTTTGACTAATGTCTGTATTAAATTATTCAGTAATATATCTCCTGATCAATTTTATGATAAAGCTCAGCTACACAGTACATCTATTTTGATACAAATAACATGTTTTTAACAAAACAGCAACTGTCACTATATTACCCTAAAAGATAAAACTTTTAATTGAATACTTTAAATTTAACTAACTAGCAAGAGCTCTTAGTTACTGAAAAAAAAAAGGATAGAACAGCTACTTACAATTGAATATGTTAAATTTACTTAAGTAAAAACTTTTCCTACTGATGACTTATTTTATTCCATGCCACTTACCCTCAAGAATACCTCTGGGAAATACTGTCGAACCACAGCAAAGGACCTTCCATCAATGGCAAAATGGAAAGTTTGATCTCCTTTATTTTCTTCATTGATATTCAGCTATAAGAAACAATTTATAAGCATTGATAGTGTAATGAATATGAGATAGGCAACAAATAGACTGATCAAACATACTAGTTCCCAGGTTTCTGTCTTGGTGACCCAACATCGTCTATCAGGAGAAGTATTTCTCACAGTTTTATATTCTTAAAGTACTGTCCTTCTCAGTCGTTTTCCAGCTATTGTTTATTATTTTAGAGTCAGTAATTGTTGAATCAGTTTTCTCTGTGATTTGTTTTGAGATAAGGAACCTTTTGATCACAGTTATTTGTTTCCTACAAATTTATTCTTGTTTCTTATTTAATTTATTTTGATTTCATGGTAAAGTCACCTCTATAGCACCTTCTATCCTCCCCATACACACATTAAGGTGTCCTGATTTATGTTTTCCAAGATCTATCATCTATTCTCAAGTTTTGTAACAATAAAAAAAAACTTACTAAACAAAAATTTTATAAGAAAAAAGAAGAAAACATCAAATGTTACTGTGTGGCAGGTAAGTAGGCTTTCTAGAAATGAATCAAGTTCTCTGATAAGTTCAAAAATCCTAAGGCCTAAAAGTTCATGTACTTCAAAACAGAACTTAAACATTTTCAACACTGGTTTTCCTTTTATTTTGTTATGAGGGAAACAATTTTATGAAGATTGTGAAAATCTGAAAAAAACAAAAAAAACAATGAAATTTAGAGATGAATAGATATAAAACAATTCTGCTAGAGTTACTTATAAAATTTACTTGTGATAGATAGAATGAGCAGAATCTTCTTTACCATGAATAATGAATGAAGCTTTAAACTCACGTTACCAGTACAGAATTACACAAAGTGTAAACTCACCTTTTGCTGATGAGATACTGGTACACTTGGCTCATCTTCTTCTTCAAGATCAATATGAGGAGATTCTGCATACTGCCAATCAATACAGGCACGGTTTACATCATCAGGTGGCAAACCACTTACAAGAATGATATTGTCTGATCGAGGTATCAATCCACAATCTCTAGCTACACTAACAGCTGTCAAGATATTGTCACCTACAACATCAGAAGTATGCAGTTCACAAATGAGGTTGTTTGTCTCTAGCTATACTAGTTACTGTCAAAATGTTTTCACCAGTGATATTACAGATATCATAATGTTTGGATGTTGTAATTAACACCCTCTAGTTACATCTTATAACTGATAACATTTTAAACTAATATTATTGCAATTCAAAATTTCTAGATACTTTATTATCTTCAAATTACCATCTTATTTTGTTCACTTGAATAATTTTATTTTTTTGTTTCTTAAAACACTAAAGGTAAGGAAATGACTAAAAATACTTGGTGAAATCATTTATTTTCTTCATAAAAGATATAGGAAACTCCAGCAATAATTAGTGCGATTAAATGCAATACTCATTACATTTTTGAGTATGACTCGTATGCTATTAGGAAACACAAAGTTATTGACACAAACAATTTGGTACATAAAAGGTTTTAGAAGAAAGTGTTCTAAATTCAGCAAGTATGCCTCCATTACCTGTTACCATCACTGTGCGGATCTTGGCTTGTTGAAGCACTTCTATTACAGGAGTAGTTTCTGGCTTCAGTGTGTTCTGCATCACAAGGAGACCAAGGAATGTCAAATCAAATTCGATTTGGTCCCTGGGTGAAAACAAAGAATATCATAACATTTTAAACCTTTTTACACAACTTTTGTTTTCATCCTTCCCTCTAATTGACTGTTGAATTCTAAATGAATTTTAATTTTTAACTTCTTATGCACTGTGTTGAAATATTATAGTTTCAAGATGCTAGTTTTGAAAGTCAAGAGCAAAGTTTTTTTAACCTGGTCAAATTGTTAGCAGAACAACTCAAGATACCAGATAAATACACTAAACAAACCTTTTAACTCGCTGAGCATGATGCCATGTCAACTTTCTGTCAAGTTTCCGCCAGGCAAGAGCAATAACACGGAAACCCTGAAGTGTATAATCTTGCAGTAGACTACTGAAGTTTTCTGGTACTGTGTAGAGAAAAGATAATTAGTGCATTTTTCTTCAGTAAATAATTGTTAAGTCACTATAACTGATCAAAAATTCATATTTAAGATCTTTCAGGCTACAAGATATAATTTATAGTGCAAATATTGTTCAATATATATGCGAATATTTTTTTGACAAAATTGTTGTATATTGTTTTTTTCAGCACTGCTTAAAATTTATCTTCAGTTAAATTTTGGGATGGTTTTCTATTATCCATACAAAGTTTTAATTTCATTAAAACCCTTCAGTAAGTAGAATGATGATCATACTGTCTTCACTTCAAACCCAAGAACCTGAGAATTGAGAACCACTCTGATACCCGAGTATTACACAGATGTTTTTGAAATTAAGCTAAACTATCAACTTCAGTATACAAAAACAATGTTTACAACACATTCTTATTAACTCTCTTAGAATGAAGTTGGTCAATTTGACCGACTTCATAACAACCTTTGTACTTATAATAGTTTTCATACAAAAAATGTTAATACACTTGGTGTATCTTCACAAAATTTGGCAGACTTTTAGTAAACATTACTAGCCTTCTGTACACAAAAAACCAGATATTTCAATGAAGTATTTTTATTAAAGATTTGTCTGAGAATTTACATAGTACTTCTACATACTAGTCCAATTGCCAAGTTATTTTCATGTTCAGATTAAATATACTTTTATTTGTCTCAAATATATCAAATTTTATTGGTACAATCTCTAAAACCTAATTTATAAATTTTAAACCTTTTTTTATCAGTAAAACATATCTTATCTGTTATCTTTTTTCTTTCTAGAATGACTTCAAAATGTTATATATGAAACTACATTTGTTTATCTAAATATCTTTAAACTTGGAACAGTATGCATCTATTTATACTTAAATTTTATTGTGTTATTGCCATTTGCACCCTGTCTAATTACTATTCGTGCCATTATAAGTTTTAACTCACTTGGAGAATGTGCACTTCATGTTATGCTATAGAATTACATTACACAAAAGTTACTCATGAGCGTACCTCATGAAAAGTTTTTATTATGCTATGATTATTTCACCTAAACTAATAAAAAATTTCCTATTTTTACATTTTAGTTACTATATTAATAATATATAAAGAATACACATGAAAAATAAGAAAAAGTACTTACTTAGGTGTTCTTTTTCTTGCTGTCGACTGTCAATGACACTTAAGCCTACATTTTTATACTACTGGTAACACTGCACTAAATAATTTTTTTATTTGAATAAATAATGCACCAACGAACACAGAATAGTAATATGCAAAAAGCAGACAATGTTCGATAACTATCACAATTTTCTTGGCTTTCTAAGTATGCGACAAAAACGGTTAGGAATACAGCTAAGTTTGTCGATGTGTTTCCTGTGGTAATAAAGGTTGAAATGGAAGAGAAACTGACAATTCTCTATACAGAAACCAACATAATATAATACATCATTTGATAGATGAAAACCTTCACTTTCTATTGGTTATAAATGTTATAATTTTTCTATACTCAAAATATATTTCTGATAGGCAATATTTTATAAAATCCTGAATTTTCCCTAGTATGACCCATCATTTGATTCCAATAGGGAGGTGCAAAAGGCTTGTGTCATGCATAATAAAAAAATTTGCATATAGAGAGCAGCAATGAATGAGAATAGCTAATATTGTGAGAAGAGAGAAGTACTGTATCAGAAACTATAGTATTGAACATCAGAGAGTACTACTGGCAGTTTCTGAATAAGAGGATGTGACAGGTGGGCATGGCAGGAGTGGTTTGGTTGTCTATTTCATGGTTTTGTAACCAAATAATATTGAAAGCTATAAAAATTATGCATTGCCTGAATGATGATGGTATTATAGTTTTGAGAAAAACATTAAAATACTTCTCAGAATTCCAATTTTGTTTAGTGTTGATCAGCAAGTTCCAACTTACATATCTAGTTAAGGTCAACATGACTGATGTTCATTGGCATATTTCTTTTGATACTTTATTTTGGTGGTTGAAGTAGTCAAGGCTTTCAGTTATAACTCATAGAAAAACAACAAAAACTGACAACATTTTACTGATTACTTATGTTCTCGACGTTTAGTTTTTGATAACAGTATTCTTGGAGGAGATAATTGATATCTAGTAAATGATAGGTTCTTTTATTTGAGTGCTGTTTGAGTTCAATAAATTTAAGAGTAATATTCAATAAGTAATGATATGAATCATCAGAATATTTTACCATTGTATACTATAGATGAAAAGTTTTGAATGTATTAATGCATTAGAATCCTTTTTACCACTATAGGAACTTTGGGTTGTAAATATCTTAAGAAACCACAAGCTACTGTTTAAATCAATTTATTTACTCTAGATTAAAGTAGATTATAAATAGATTATCAGTGCCAACCTTAACCACTGTAGGATCTAAGAAAGATACAAAGTGCACAGCTCCTCAAAGTACTCAGCAATAAAAAAAGTGATGGAAATAGTACAGCAGAATAATGTGGTACACTTAGTAATGAGTCAACTAAACGATTTGTTCGGTTTTGCAGCTTTGTCTTTAAGTATCACTCATAAAAGTATTCATGGAGGTTCCCCATAGTGAAGAGGCTCTAGACAGCTGCCTTGCCATTAAAGCCAGCTCAGCAGACTATAATCTTTTCTATCCATTGGCTGTAGTTATATACAACACTGAGTTTTTTGACTAATTGTTCAGATTACATGCTATGACAAAATAAAACAGTGGTAAATGAAGGGCTGACAAAGAAGGAAAATCACACTGAAAAAAGCATTATATTTTCAAGGGATGTCAGTTTCTTAGCAAATATACTTTGGGATGGACAGTAAAATTCTAAACAATTGATAAAAGCTTTGTTTACATGCAAGATGTGTCAGACTGCCTGGAAGTAACAGTTGGAGCTTTTTTAAATCTTACTTTGCAAATTACACTAAATAAATGTTACATAATGACAAAATATCCATACTAAAATGTCTTTTACTTAAATAAGTAAAAATATATAAAGATTAAGTAATATTGTATCTGAATTCAATTAAAAAAAACTAAACCTGGGCACTAATTCTCATGTCTGCTGACAATTTTAATTACAGCCCTGATTAATTTTTCATTGAATGTGAATACAAAATTAAATAATTATTCAATCTCCAATATCTTTTTCATTTATTTCCATTACTTTTCTCATTTTTGGGTTTGTCTTGGCAAATACCAGTTAATTAATTATTGATCAATTATATAATAACTGCGAAGTAATAACCTACAAATATTGTATTACATAATGTCATTTATAAATATTTAATAATTCCATTCTCTTACAAATACCTAATAATCATTACATTATTGAAGTAAAATAATACCTTTACTAATCAGCAACTGCTGTTGATCCAGGAAAAAAAAAATGTTTCAAAGTGTTTAATTTTCCTTAAAAAATACATTAAATATGCATGTGTACTCACAGCTTGTAATTAAAATTTTCATCCAATGGTGTTAGTATAAATGTTTATAAATTTTTTGTTTACCATGTATGAATTACAGAAAGTGAGTTTTCAGTTTTGTTATTTTTTAAAAAAGGACCTTTTTAACACTCAGAAGAATGGCCAAATTTTATAGACTTAAGATAAAACAAACTTTCCTGCTTTTATTATATTTAAAGAGTAGGTGAAACTTCAAACTTTTGGATTAATTTGTTTACTTCTTTCATTTTTATTATGGAGAGGTAGATACAAGAGAGAGAGAGAACCCTAAAAAAATACAAACATTCCAATAATTTTGATGTTTTTTTCTTCTATTCAATATCACTAGTAGGCACAGCAAAATTAAAGCCTAGTTTAGTTGCTCTAGATGATTTTAAACTTTAATATGTATGTGTGTACTGGACACCTGAAAAGAGTTTACCTATTAAGATGGTGTTAGAGAAAAAGGTGTTTTATGTGATATGCAGTCATATGTTTATATAAAGTTTTTAAACAGAAACCATACTTACAGGTCTGCTTTAAACAAAGAGAAGCTATTTTCTCTGGGGCACCTTTGACATATAGGTCCATGTGGGGCTTTCCTAATGTTCTACATATTACACCCATTCTTTGTGCACTTGAGGAAAATGGAAACTGTCGAACAATACCTATTTCATAAGGAACCTAAAAGAGAATATAATAATTATTATTTTTATTATACTGTCACAAAAACTGGGGAAGGTAATTCATATCTACAAAATAACAAATGCGTGATAATACAAACAGATCAATTTTTGTCTGGTGTGATGCCATTTTTAGCTACTACCTTACTTTTCTAAGTGTGTGTTTGTGTGTGACAAAAACAAATTTAAGTTATAGTTAGCATACAATGTTTGTTATACTCAAAACAAAAAGATAAGAGAAATTATGTGACAAATTTGAGTTCAAACGGTGGTGTTGAAAAGTTGAGAAACACTGGTTACATTATCATAAAACTATGATGATGGAAAGATATCTAAGTGAAATAGTTTCAACATTTCAATCCTTCCAATTAAGTTTTGCTACATTGTGTGAATACTGCAAAAGCAGCTGTAAAAACTTGAATCTGTTGCATGAAAAAGTAACCTTAGTAATACTGAAAGAATATGCATGTCATTTTTTTTCTCTGAATTTCATCCATTTTGAATAACTCATTAAATGTTTACATCACCATCACAACATGGCACTGTTGTGTGGAATTTTTTATTCATGTGTGATCGAGTTGCAGTCCTGCCACTTGTGTAACACGAAAACCACATTTGCTGATACTAGGTTATAAAAACAAACTGTACCATGACCAGCTGAGAATTGTAGTTTTGAACAATAACAGCTTTCAAGACAGCAAGGCTGAAGATGACAAAGTTTAATGTGGTTTCAGGTGTGGAAGATGGCAATTAATGACAGAGTTTGTCAACAAATGGAGCTTAATGTGGCTAATGCTGATGATAGTTTCAAAATTAATAGAGCTTAATGTGGCTTCAGATGTGGAAAGTGGCTGATCATGATGATTGACTTTGCCAAATAAGGAAGTTTAATGTGGTTTAGGTGTGGAAGGTGACTTGATGCACTACCAAGACTTTGAAACCATTAAACTTCATGGCTAAATTTTTGGGTTTTCTCACCTATTTTCCTTTCTTTTTCACTTATTTAGTTGCCTATTATTATGTACAGAAAACTGTTTAGGAGTTCTTTCATTTTGGTTTGTAAGATGTATAGTACGGTGGAAGTGGTGTTCACTACAATGAGTACATAAACAAAAGAGAACTGATATTTTCAAAATAAACAGGAAAAATGGTTAAAGGGTGGTCATAAAGCTCATGTTTGGTCTCCACAATGAGTTATGCAAAGTTGTGATGCACACACTGTGGGGCAAGCCCTCCCAAGGGAAATGTGCAACTCTGTCCACAGGAGCATATAAATTATATTTGAAAAAATAAATTTCAAAACAAAAATTTAAAAAATACAATACAAATATTACTACTATTATGTTATATAACAACAACAATTACCATGAGAAAATGACATGTATAGTATATATACACCTGGAAAAAAGTTAAGCACTCCCAAATATTTTTCAGGATTGCTTATTGAAAATAAGGTTTAATTTTCATGATGTTGAGCAATGTTCATAATTTCAAACATAATTAAAAGGATGTGAGCATTCAGGTGTGACATTTA